TTGGATATGTCTACTAACCCAACACCTAAAAATGTTTCATGTCTTAAAAACCTTGCTTTAAATATCCTTAAAAACGGCACCCCAGAGGTTATTACAAAAGGTGTTGAAGTTCCAGAACTAGATCCATGCTCAAAGTGTAAAGAAGAGCTTTTTTTGTACGAACTTAAAAAACCATTTACCGTACTCATCTGTGGACATATATACCACCGTAGTTGTCTTGAGGATTATGTAAAAGATCTCCCACAATGCCCTGAATGTGCAATGGAAATTGAATCTATTGATTATACACGTTATTCTGGTACTTCTGAATCTAGTTCACAGGATCGGGCACAGAATACCTCAGACCCAATGCAAATTTCGCCACAAATGGCACAAATGGCATCTAGTCAAAGCCAGAATACAATAACCCCAGATACAACTCTTATTTTTAACCCTACCTTAGCATATGACCCAACAATATATCCAAATTATGTGGATCTTACCAAAAACAAAGATGCCTCTCAGATTGAATCCAGGAATTGTTCCAAGTGTTCTGAAGTTGAATTTTGACCACCATGACTCTTTAGGGTCGCCCCTTCGGGCCTGGATGCAAGCCAGTATTTATAAAATGTATGTTCTTTATGGCCAGGTTTATAATCAAGATCTGTTAAACCCATAAAAAGCCGTTTTGCTTCATTATATTCAGCTAACTTTTGATTTAAGCACTGTTGTTGTAATAATTCACGAAGATGTTTTTTTGCTTCGCTAGATAAACCTATTTTATATGTACGTTGTTTGTATATACGCGTTGTTTGATCTGACAAAAAGTATATGTAGTATTATTTTGAAACTATATTAATTGATAGATAAATCTTTAAAATAAAATTAATTATTATATATAGTTATGATGATATTATACTATTGCTCACATATTAATAGAACTGGAGAAATCTGTGGTCGATGTAGTAAATTAGAAAGATGTTATAATCATCGTAAATCTCCAGTATATACTCCTTGTAGAGATTGTGGTATGCTAAATAGGTCTAAATATAATGCATGCAATGATCATGTAGGCAAATATAAAAGTAGAGAGAATTATCGCAGAAAAAAGCAGG